TCCTTCTTGTGTTGCCATGTGGCACCAATTGAGTGGGTCTTCCGAAGTCAACCCACACACTTCGTGGAACCTGCAGCTCTCTCAAGCGGTGAGCACCGAAACACATTCGGTGGGTTGGGGGCATATCAATTGCCCCACCACCGTTTGCTTCTAACTCACGCGACCTCCAACACTCCCCCTTGCACCCAACCCACTAGGTGTGCAATCCAACATGCTCGTAGCATGCACGGGACGGATCTTTAGGGGGTAGTTCCATGAGAGGATCCATGTGTTCATCATCACCCATGGTTGCGAAGCAAAATGCCGCCCCCTCCTTATCCAACTTCCCAACGGCTACCGTAGCATAGTCGGCGTACTTGGAGGGAGGACGAACCTCACGACGCTCGCGGGTCAAGGCCAATGGTAGGGAGGAAGGTGTGGAGGTAGTTGCCGCCTCGGTAGGTGACACCTCCACGACATCATCAACGCTCTCCTCGTTGTTCTCTCCCCCTCCATCGGCTTCCTTCTCCACTTGAGGTGGAGTCTCACTCTCTTCAACCTCCTCTCGTGGCGGAAGGATGAAAGTGAGTTGTTGAGTGGGTTTCTCCTTCGACGAGAACTTGTCTTTATCGAAGACCACGTCCCGAGACGTGACGACACGCTTTTCACCCAAGTCCCACACTCGCCATGCACGCTCGTTTGGCGCAACTCCCAAGAAGATCGCCGCACGAGCTTTCGGTTGCAACTTGTGGCGAAGAGGATCCGGTATATGGTAGTAGCAAAGGCACCCAAAGGTGCGTAGGCGGGATAGGTTCGGCTTCGTTCCGGTCCATGCTTCGAACGGATTCCTTCCCGGTAGCACCTTTGTCGGCACACGATTACGAATCCATGCCGCTAGCGCACTCGCCTCTCCCCACCACTCGTTCCCAAGCTTGGAGTGTTGAAGTAGTGAACAAACGGCTTCCACCAACGTGCGATTAAGCCGCTCCGCCGCTCCATTTTGTTGGGGTGTGTAGGGTGTCGTGACGTCGTGCTTTATGCCCTTGCTCTTCATCCATTTCTCAAGCTCCGCGTTCACGAATTCGCCCCCACCGTCGGTGCGAATACACTTGATCCGCTTCTTGTCGTCGTCGCAAACATCGAGCACCCACTCTTGAATCGCCTTGGCCGCATCTCCAGCCTTCAAGAGTCGGGTCCAACACATCCGCGTCGCGTCGTCGAGCATCACCAAGAGGAACCGCGCTCCTCCCTTTGATGCATGTCGCATCGGTCCACACACGTCCATGTGAACAAGCGCAAGCGGGTCCTTAGCGAGGGGTGACGTTCGGCTACCAAATGGCTTGCGAGCCATTTTTCCTTCGACACACGCCACGCACACGCCCTTCTCGTCGTCGCCGGCGATCACGTCAAGTCCCTTCGCAAGTCCTTTGTTGGCCAACTCCTTGACCGAGTCGTAATTGGCGTGCGCAAGTCGATCATGCCACGCCTTAAGAGTTGCCTTGGAGCCTTGTGCCACGTTCGATGAAGCCACTCTTGGGTACGTCTTGAGTTGGTAGATATCTCCATTGAGAACCCCTTGCGCGAATTGCTCCCCCTTCCAAAAGAGGTTCATCTTCGCACCGTCGATGGTGGCGATCACGCCCTTCTTCGCCAGTTGCGGGACGGATAGAAGGTTCACCTTCACCCCCGGGACGTGAAGCACGTTCGTGACGTCCACCGGTCCGCTATCGACGATGAGGCGCGTACTCCCAACTCCAACCACCGGTAGAGATTCGTTGTTTCCGAACACGATGCTCGTGACGTCTCCCGGAGCGCCAATGTTGTTGAGGAACGACGCCGAGTGCGTCATGTGTTGCGTTGCGCCGGTATCGAGGAACCACGCGTCGCTTGGAGTTTTGTTCCCGTTGCCGGCCACTAACACGAGCGACTCCTTTGAATCATCGGCCTCGCCGGATGCCGTGTGCGCGTTGCCCTCTTCGTCCCGCGCCTTCGATGGAGTCCAATCGCTCGGGCGCTTCCGACACTCACGCCAAAAGTGTCCCGGTTTGCGGCAATAGTGACACTTGCCGCGATGCTCGCTCCCACCCGACGATTCATTCGTCGCACCCTTGCTCCACTTGGACTTCTTTCCGGAACTCCCTCCGGAGTACATGGCGGTCCCCTCGCTCTCATTCGCGAATTGTCGGCGACGTGATTCCTCATGGAGAAGCCGACCGACCACCATTTCCTTCGTCCAAGTGCCTTGCACGCTATCGAGTGTCGTAATCACCGTCGACCACTCTTCCGGAAGGCCGCAAAGCAAGGTGAAAATCCAATCCTCCTCCGTGACCGTTCCACCGAGGTCCATGAACGATTCCCCGAGTTCCTCCACACGAGTCGCATACTCGTGCATCGATTCGCCCGCGCGCATCTTCACCGTGTAGAACGCATTCCGGGCTAGGATCTTGCCGTGGAGAGTCTTGTTCACGTGGATGGTCTCGAGCCGCTTCCACGCTTCATGCGCCGACGCTTCGAGCTTGATGCACATGCGCACCGAGCTCACGAGATTGATGCCGATGCGCGAAATCAACGTAGCGAACGCCTTTTGGTCCTTCTTCTTCCATGCCGCGATGTCGCTCTCGTTGTCCGGCTTCTTCTCCGTTCCATCGAAGAATCCCCAAAGTCCCCGCTCCATCATGAGCACTTGGAACTTAAACTTCCACGCGGAGTAATTTTGTCCCGTGAAAATCGGTACCGCTGACGTGTCGAACATCGTCGCGGTTGCCCAGGGTTCGCCGGTATTTACAACGACACCATCCAAGGAAGTGCGGGAGGCCTCGCTTGACGTCATCATGCTTGCTCCTTGTCGCGCGCGTAGACTCCTCCGACCAGCTCTGATACCACTGATGTAAAGGACTCTCCTCTACTTTGCAGGAACTGGGATTTGTACTAATCACTAGAGCACACTCTTGGCTTTCCAAGGAGCCGTAGAACACGTAATTCGCCCAAGTATCGGCTGAGATACGGCTTTCAACGTGCTAGGTAGTGCTCTAAGATTGAAGGATAGAAAGTCTCTGGATTTTGTGTCGAGTTGAACCGTGTATAGAAAACTCTGATTTTCAGTATATCATGCATACAAAGCAATCACAATATATAGCTACTCAAAACATCGAGTCGCGCATGTAACATACGAGATGCATCGAGAACATTCGCGTAACAATTCGAAGGGGTGAAATTCGGCACCCGAATTTCACCGAACCGAATTCTTCCTTAGTCTCGATCCTTCTTGTGTTGCCATGTGGCACCAATTGAGTGGGTCTTCCGAAGTCAACCCACACACTTCGTGAAACCTGCAGCTCTCTCAAGCGGTGAGCACCGAAACACATTCGGTGGGTTGGGGGCATATCAATTGCCCCACCACCGTTTGCTTCTAACTCACGCGACCTCCAACAAATGGGACTTCGTTCCATGACTAGCCTTGACGTTCTGCAAGGATCTGACGACAAATTCCAGAACCACACTCACAGATGGAGCTCGAGCGATCTTGTTGGTGTTCCTGTCCTTGTCGTTGTTGCGCTTCGCATCAGCAGCCGGTGCCTCGCTGACCGCTCGACGACTCACAGATGCGACTCCCTGAGCTCCGCGTCCCATGCTGACTAGACTCTACTGCCTCGAAGCTCAGCAATCCACGCTAATAGTAATGGGAAGCTTTTGTGCTCACACGAGTGAGAGACCCCAACCGTGATGAGCTCGCGTCGAAATGATTGGGGTTTTTGGGAAATGAGTGAATTGAACGGAGCTTTGGCGACGCGTTGACGGATCGCAACCAGCCGAACAGCTCGTGCCGATCTGTGTGACCTTATCCTGTTGTGTGGCGGATGATTCTACCGCTCGGCAGTGCGATCCGCTCAAACTTCAATCCGCCAAGAAACTGTGGATCCCCGCTACTCCCTTCTCCCCGTCGCAGAAAGATAAATCTCTCGGCTAGATGGGGAGAAGAATGAGAATGCAGAGAGCAGAAGGGAGCAGAGAATGCAGATTGGAGAGTCGAGTGCATTCACAAGTGTCCCCCTTGATCACAGTGCCAAGCGAAGCAGAGGACACCACAGCAAAGCAGAGCACGGCAGAGCATGGGACCACAGAGGAACCATTGGTTGGGTCAGCACAGCAGAATCTACAGTATTGGTTCTGGTGCAATCAAAATTTGAGGAATCAACCTCGGAAATGTCGTCACGCTGTTGTAACCTCCGATGACGAGGCTTGTTTTGTGGCTGTTACAGACTCGGCAAGACGTGGGAACAAGCTTGAATGGTTGAAGCTCAATCAAGCCAATCCGCGGGTGGCTTTGATTATGGACGCCCAGCCTGAAAACAAAGCAAGGGTTCACACCTGGGACACTGGGCTGGAATGGTTTGGGACGGTAAGGGACCACACAAAACGCATGTCACGATGTGATCGGGTGAGCACGATTGGTTGCCATACCTGTAGAAACTGTATCAGGCTTGAGATGCCACAGCGTCGACATCCCCGAACCTCCTGAGCATAACAGATCGTCGCGTAGGTGGCATTGGTCGCACTCGCGCCGCATTGAAATTCGACTACGACACTTTTCACTGGCCGTCGTTGCCAACCAAGCAGGACCAGTGGACATCATTGTTCGTTCAATAACGAGAACAACTTCACTGACTATAACGAGTAAGCTGCTGAGTATTGTCCTAGCATTTGAAGTATTTTCTTACAGGCCGTTAGTAAAGGAACTAGCGAAACTATATAGCGAGGAAAACGAGTTTCCTTACAAGCAGGGCCGAATGACTTGGTTTTTGTAACGAGGAAAAAGAATTCCAATTCTTCATTTCAGAATTGCTCTGGATGATTGGTGAATCAGTCATCGACCTAGCCCAACGAGAACATTATTGCTTTCCTTAGCAGACAACATTCCTGCTTGCGCGAACTAGTGCTACCATTTGCGGACGGGTTGTTTTCCCGCGTAACCTCTGCGCGCACTAGGTTTGCTAACGTGACTTATCTGCGCGGGTGGCGCCATGGCTCAGCCGGAACGGGTCCGCCTTCCTGCGCGGTCCACCCGCGGGAAACGGTGAGCCGTCGGGAAGAAGAGGTTAGCAACGAGAGCTGCTTACGGCTGTAACGAGGTAGCAACCAGCTCGTTGTTGGGTCGGCTAGGAGAATAACCAGGCGCAGATGCGAAATCCGTGTGCTGACCCCTTAATCTTCCTCTCATGTGGCGCCTTGTCCTTTCCCTTTCCCTTGCTTCCTCTCCCTTTCCTTCATTTCTCCACTTCTGTCCCCTTCATCCCCCTTTTCCTACCTGCTACATTCCTAATGTCTGAGCTCGATTGGAGTTGCTTTCGGGGTTCTCTAAGGAGTTGCTTACGAAATTTCTCAAAAAAAAACTGTGGTTTGCTCATTCCCCTTTCCTGCGCCAATCAGCGTGTCGGAGCTGGTGGGAGAGGACCTAGACGCGGATGAGGAGTTTTGGAATCAGAAGGCGTTTCAGGAGGTAAGCTGACATGCTGACGTGGATTTGAAGTTCCAATCATAAAATTGGTAATTGTCCTGCAGAACTGGATTTCAACAACCATGATGAGATTTGTAAGTGAACTGGGTGACCTGGAGTTTAACCGCTTATTATGCGTTCAGGGTGGGTGAGTAGATCGGCGTGCTGACGCGGTCAGTAAGTGCTCACTACAGTGTTCATTTTACGTGATGTGATTTACTCAAACAATCGTGTCTTTATTCCCTCTCTCACTCCACTTCTTCTTCTTTCAAATTTTCCTCAACTTACCTCACCTCAACATGACATGGCGATTATTGGCATGCCATGGCATGGGATGGCATCCAATGACACTACATGTGCATGCATGGGCACGGCATGACATCCCATGTGCATGATATGGCATGGCAGGAGGCAGAGGATGTGGAATATGCAATGGAGGGCGAGGTGGAGGACGTTTAATTGTGTGATGTGAAACATATGTACTTGTTTTACATGCATGTATGATTTTATACCACAGGAAGCAGAGGATGTGGAGTTTGCATTGGAGGGCGAGGTGGAAGAGGACGTTTTCGACAGCGACTTTGATGATGATGTGAGCATGATGATGGGGGTGATGATGTGAGCATGATGGGAGTGATGATGTGAGCATGATGGGAGTGATGATGTGAGCATGATGGGAGTGATGATATGAGCATGATGGGAGTGATGATGTGAGCATGATGATGGGGGTGATGATGTGAGCATGATGATGGGAGTGATGATGTGAGCATGATGGGAGTGATGATGTGAGCATGATGGGAGTGATGATGTGAGCATGATGATGGGGGTGATGATGTGAGCATGATGATGGGGTTGATGACGTGAGCATGATGGGCCTGATGACGTGAGCATGATGGCATGAAGGCGTGATGGGATGATGATGGGCATGGTGGGCATGAATGATAATATGATGGGGGATTATGGGATGGTGCATGGTGTTTGTATGGATGATGGATTGAAAGGTTTAGCAATAGCCACCACCACCGTAGTCCTTGTGTTGTGGTCTTCTCTTGTGATCAGAAAATTCTCTGATACCTTCTTGATGCCACATCACATTACAGACCACCACTCACACTACCCAAACATGTACCCGCTCTCGTGTTCAGATCAGCTTCTGATACCTTTCACAGAGAAACGCTTTTCAAGCACACCTCTCCGTTGCACCTCTATAGTCACACCTCTTTCATCTCACCTTATTCTCTCTGACCGCTTGTGTGTGTGCCTGACCATGGTAGGAACCGGACAACGAGGAGGAGGAGGCTGGCACTGAAGTGAAAGAGAAGTCTGACTCCCCCCTCTTCTTTCTACTTTGAGGCTGTTTGAGCAAATCACATAAACGTTGTCCCCTTACCTAGGCCCTTACGTTGTCTCTTTCGTCGTGTTTTGCACGTCCACGTCCTCTTGCCGTTTTTGCATTATTCTTCGTTCACCCTCGCCCCAGCTTGTAGTGAGTCGATTTTTGAGTCGACTCAAAAATCGACTCACTACACGCGTCCACGTCCTCTTGCCGTTTTTGCGTTATTCTTTGTTCACCCTCGCCCTCGCCCCAGCTGCTCCACCTGCCCCTCCCAACCTGCTCCCCCCGCCCCACCTACCCCACCTGCATCACCAGACCCACCAAGCGACGCCTCCTGCCCCCAGGCACCAAGAAGAAGCCAAAAAAAACCACCAAATCCGCAAAGAAAGGCATGGCCGGAAAGAAAACCTCAACGGAGAAGGGGAGAACGAGTGAGAGGGCTGAAGTGGAGGCAACGGGTGATGGGGCGGAGGGGGGGAAGGGAAAGAGTAAAGCTGGGAAGAGGAGTGGTGTGGGAAAGAGTAGGCAGAGACGTGAGCTGGCTCTGCTGGGAGTGGGGCGAGGGAAACGGGAAGCGGAGGAGGTAGGTGGGGGAGAGGAGAGAGAGTGGGGAGAGGCAGGAGAGGAGGGAGAAGATTTGATTGGAGATGCCACGGTAGATTTGACAGAAGAGAATTGGGGAGCGGGAGGGGGGAGGGAGGGAGGAGGGAGGGAGGGAGGAGGGATGGAGGGAGGAGGGATGGAGAGGAGGAAGTCGAGGAGGACAGCGGTGGTGGTGAGGGACATGGAGAGGCAGATGCTGAGGGCTGCGAGGGAGGGGGCGCCCAAGGCTGTGAGGAAGAGGAAGGAGGGCGAAAGGCGGTGGACACAAGAAGAGATGCTCCTAGAAGCTGCACAGACAGGTACTGTGCGGTTCAGGGGGGTGTGGTGCGGTTACGAGGGATGGGGATTGGGCACCACCTTGGGCATTCAACTTGAGCGCAGGCCAGGTTGTAGCGGTGGTGGTGAGGGACATGGAGAGGCAGCTGCTGAGGGCTGCGAGGGAGGGCGTGCCCAAGGCAGTGAGGAAGAGGAAGGAAGGCGAGAGGCGGTGGACACTGTAGGAAATGCTGCTGGAAGCAGCGCAGACAGGTACGGTGCGGTTCAGGGGGGTGCGGTGCGGTTCAGGGGGATGGGCAGTGGTCACAGCCTTGGGAATTTTACTTGAGCGCAGGTAACGTTGTAGGGGCTCTGAGGGCTGCGAGGGAGAGGGTGCCCAAGGCTGTGAGGCAGAGGAAGGAGGACGAGCGGCTGTGGACACAAGCGAAGATGCTTCTAAAAGCAGCACAGACAGGTGGGGTTGGGCGACAATACAAGCAGCAAAGAAAGGTGGGTTAAGGTTCTGGGCTTCTAGTATGATCTCGAGGTGGGCTGTGGAGGTGCAAGGAGAGGTGCATCGAGGATTCTATCTCTGATTTTACCCCTCAACTCCTATCACGCCCTCTGCAGAGATTCTGAACCGGGAGGATTTGGCAGTAATGCTAGCCTCACACATGGAGGTGAATAGAAAAGCAGTCTGATTCTCAATCCCTTCTCATGCACTCCTCCCCTCCCTTGTGCATTGACCCCCCTCCTCCCCGGATCCTTCGGGCCTGATGCAGAGATTCTGAATCGGGAGGCCCTGGCAGTGATGCTGGCGAGGGAGGAGGAGGTGAAGCGGAAGGCCGTCGTGGAAAAGGCAATCTTTGGCGGGCCGCAGATTCGATTCCACTCCAAGGACGGTGAGATCAAATCAAATCGTATCATATCATTCACCATCAAGTCGTTACAACTTTGCTTATTGTGGAGAAAGAAATCTTCGGCGGGCCGCAGATCCAATTCCACTCCAAGGACGGTGCGATCGAATAAAATCAAATCCCAGGAATTCAATGTCCGGTATCATCATATGGTTGTGCTTCTGCAATTCCGATTTCTGATTTCCTTGCAACCACCCCCCTCCCCCTTCTCTTCTCCCCAGCGAAATCCCCTTCACATTACCCTCGAGTTCACCGAAGTGGCGGCTGTTCCTCGGCTGTCCAACTCTGCTGCTCCCCTCCTTTTCTCGCTCCCTCCTTCCTCCTGGCTCACTAAACCCCTACACAGGGAAGAACACCCTTGAGTTCACCAAGGTTGCAGCTGTTCCTCCAGAGATAAACGCTATGGCGCCTCCCTGTATGTATTGATGACGGGCCTTGTTTCGTGGAGAGGTCTCAAGACTCGCTTTCATAAGGGGCCTTGTTGCAATTGTATCAACTAGGGCCCCTGTGCCTGCTGTCCCGAACGTTGACATGTGTCCTCAATCTGTTGTTTGATGCTTTTTATCAACAGGTTGTGGTTTTGAGACGTCTCAAAACTTTATCAACAGGTTGTGGTGATATTTTTTGCACGTATCATATTTGAAGAGTGCATGTTTTGCTGCTTTTCTGATGTTACCAAGCCTCTTTTCTCTCCACCTTCCTATTCTTGCAGACCCTGCCAAGCCCACATGTGTGATCACAGGTCTACCAGCAAAGTAAGTCTCCACTGCTCTTGGGTGCACCACCTGTCACTGCTGCTCTTTTTCTCTTTTTTTACTATTACCTGAACAGCTTTTTTCAGCGTTGCGGCTGTGGGAGCTATTCCACCAACAATCCTCCTACCAGCAAACCATTTTCCGGCATGTTCTGCTGTTGTGACTTGAATTTTCAGGTACCATGATGCTGCAGGGTGTTTTTGAGAATTCTCAAAAACACCCTGCTCCTACCAGCAAACCATTTTCCATCATGTTCTGCTGTTGTGACTTCGACTTAACAGGTACCGAGACCCACTCACAGGCCAGCCGTACACCACTATCGCAGCCTTTTGAGAATTCTTAAGAATCTCTCACAAGGTCACGGGTAACAGTTCCATCAGTTGCCAGTTCCCCTCTTGGCGTTTCTCCTACTCTCTCTCCGCACTCTGCAGGTACCAAGACCCACTCACAGGCCAGCCGTATGCCACTATCGAGGCCTTCAAGGTCATCCGGCAAATGTCAGTAACTCCCTTGCATTTTTTTTCCTTACGTCTCCTTTCATGCATCTTTCCAATTCATGCGCCTTACCAATCCCAGCCAGGACCCACCGGCCCCTGCTGCTACCATTCCCAGCAATCATTTTTCCTCCTCTCTTGCTCTGTTCCTTGCCTGTGCTGGGTGGTTCAGGTGGCAGGAGGAGCAGGCCACAAAGAAGAGGCTGCGGAAAGCGGCAAAGGCGGAGGCGAGAAAGAGGTCAGAGGCAGGTATGGGACGAAAGGCAGCATCCCAGGAGGGACATGGGTCACAGCATGGGACTCAACATGGTTCACATGCTTCTCAACATGGATTGCCTGACTATGATAGACAATTAGGGAACCAAAATTTGCCCACTAGCAAGGGGCGGACTGTGGTGGGCAGCACTCATGTTTTGCCTGCTGCTGGTGTTCATGCTTCTAGGATCCCAGGGACTAAGCAGAGAACAAGCTTGTAAATACGCAAGCAATAATGTTCATTTACGCAGCTGTTGTGATGGGTGGAGGCATGTTGCACAGTGGCACTGTAGCATGGTGAGGGCTGGTTGAATGTTTATTTCATGTCTACGTTACATGTTCAGCTGAGTGCAGCAGAGGGTTAAAACCAGGGTGCACATTCAACGCGGCTCGGCTTGAGATGTTGGGAAGGGGGTTTGGAGAAAAACAGTGATTGGCTCACGAGGGGCGACAAAAAAATGATTCCGCTAGAGCTTCGGGCATTTCGTAGGTGGCGGGAGGGGGTGAAATGGCGGGAGTGGGTGAAACCGAATGGCGGGAGGGATGAAACAGATTGGCGGGAGGGGGGGGAAACGAAATTGCAGGGGAGGGGGGAAACAAAATTGCGGGGGAGGGGGGAAACGAATTTCGACTTGAAGGGGTTGAAAGCACACCTCGTAACCCACTCAGTCAAGGGATAACCTTTGATGCACATTCAGCTGAATGTGCACCCCGGTTTTAAGCAAGTCAACAAAAGAGAATCTATTGATTCCACACGCGAGCATAGACACATCTACATTACACAAAGTACGCACACCAAAACAAGAAACACAATAACTCACACATCTAGAATAATCAAGGAAGCACACAGAGAACAGCCCTTAAGAGGGCAGCATTGCCATGTATCCCCTGCTGACACCAGGCGAACAGTGCATACACGCCAATGTAAGGCCGCAGGGCATGCATGACAGTGCGATGCAATCGCAGCCTTCCATTGCACTGCAACACTCGAGATCATAGCCTTCCAGTGCCTTCAGCCCTTTAGATGAGATAGCAGCAGCAACAGCAGCAGCAGCGGCAGCAGCCAGGGCTTTTATGTTTCCTCATTGCAGCAGCACAAGCCCTCACACCTTCTCCTGCAGCAGAAGATCTAGGCTCACTCTGCTGAACCGCTCAAGGCGGGACGATGGCAGCAATGGCTGGTATGCTCCCTCGTGGCAGCAGCAGCAGCAGCAGCGGCAGCAGCAGCACAAGGCGTCACACCTTTTCCTGCAGTAGCAAATCCAGGCTCACTTTACTAGACCGCTCAAGGCGGGAGGACGGAGGAGGAGGGAAGGGAGGAATGAGAGGCGGAGAATGGGGAGGAGCAGCTTGTTGGCAATCCTCAATCATACCAGTACCCTCTTCTGGCTGTGAAAGGTTGTTCCCTGGCCTTGATAAGTCAGGCTGCGGCTGCGATAAGTACTGCTCCTGCCGCGATAAGTGCTGCACGGGCCGCAATAAGCCATGCTCCCGCCTTGATAAGTCGTGGTTCAGATCGAACAGATCCAGTAGGGCGTGGTGAACAGCCGATGCGGACTGCTTATCGCACAGGGAAAGACCACGTGGGAGGGTGTTCGGGTGACTGTATGGGGGGAGGAGAGAGGACTGGGAGCGGACAAAGCCAGGCTCAGAAACGTGAGTATGGTCTGGGAAGGGCGAGGGTCCAGGTATGTGAGAGGAGATGTCGGAATTATGCTGGGGATAGAGAGGGAAGATTGATCCAGGATGGAGAGGGGCGGCGCTGGTCCCCGGATAGAGAGGAGTGATGGCTCCGTAAATGTGCTTCACTTCTGCTGAGTCTAGTGAGTCTACCCTCTGCTGCCCTTTGCCGTACCCTGTATGGGTACTCCCGTTTGTAGCAGGTCCGTTTGTAGCACATCCGTTTGTAGCAGATTTGTTTGTAGCAAGCCCCTCTGTAGCATGGTCACCAACGTGGTGCGTCCCATTGCTCTCACAGTCATTCACCGCTTGGCTCTGTGATCCAGCCATAGCAGAAGCCGCCGCATCAGCAGCAGCATCAGAAGCAGCAATATCAGCCTGCACTGCAGAAGCCGGGGATCCTAACGGAGATGCTTGTAGAGGGGATGCTACGAACGGAGATGACCCTAAAGGGGAAGCTGCGGATGTGCCGTTGGTGTTGTTGTGCCCCATCCACCAGTCCTTGCCCTCCCCGTGTGCCAACGCCACAGCAGCAGGTGCATCAGGGGAAGTAGGATGAGGGGCGGCTGTAGCAGGAGCAGCAGGAGTGGCAGGAGCAGTAGGCACAGCAGGGGGGCCAGGAGAAGCAGGATGAGGGGCAGCAGAGGGAGTGGTGGGAGCAGAAACAGCAGCTGTACAAGCTGGTACAGTCATAACAGCTGCCGTTGCTGCTGGTGCTGCTACAGGTACGGCTGCTGCTCCGGGTGCTGCTGGTATGGCTGCTCCTGCTCCTGCTGATGATGCCACAAGCACCTGTGAAGGACATGACAGCCCACGCAGAGCACCTGCTGCCATCCCACCATTTTCTCCAGCCATCCCACCATTTTCTCCAGCCATCCCACCACCATGTGCTGTTACGCCTCCATCAGGACCTGGTGCTCTCAGCCATGTAGGTGCTGTGAGCGCGGTAGGTAGTGTGAGGCCGGAACCAGGAGGTACAAGCTTAGAAGCAGGTGGTGTGAAGGCTGAAAGCCCAGCTGCAGGGAACCCACCACGACCTGTGAACCCAGAGAGGTCGACAGCAGCTATCCCACCGCTCCCCTTTCTGTCCATCCCCATTCCACCTGACATCCCACCCCCACCCACTCCATTCAACATCATAGCTTGGTACGTGTTCTGCTGCTGCTGCTGACACTGCTGCTGCTGTTGCTGTTGCAAGCTCAGCTGTCTCTGCAAGCTGAGCTGTCGCTGTGGCTGCATGCTCAGGTGACGTGGCAGGTACGGATTGGCTGGCATCTGGAGAGGAGGATCAAGGCCAGACAACCAGGATGAGCAACTGATGTCGGCACCTGCCAGGAAACTACCGCTACTACTGCTGCTGAGGCCGTGAAAAGCATTGGCAGCAGCAGGTACTAGTGTGTTGCTAGCAGCAGCAGTATACTTACTTTTGACGGCAACAGGAGGAAGAGGGTTACTGGGAGACAGAAGGACACTACCTGACAGGAGGGACCGGTGGGACAGCAAAGGCGCCGTGCTACCAGACACGAGAGCGCTGCTTGATCTGTTGAATTCACCTGACCAATCACCTGAAAAGGCACCTGACCAGGGGAGGTGGTGGAACTGCGGAATCTGGGGATACTGCCTGAGAAAGGAATCATCTAGGGAAGCAGAGACACCCAAAGGGGGGAGATGGGGAGCAGAAGAGTGAACATATGTAGCAGCACCAGCAGCAGCTGTAACAGCTGTAGCAGTAGTGTTGCTGCAGGGAGTTATGGGACCACTGGTGGTTGCGGTGATGCCCGGACTTGTGTTTTGAGAAGGTACTAATCCTGCATCAATGTCCATCGCAGAAGGCTGGGGCTGCTGGGTTGGCAGGACTCTGCCACTGCTAGTGCGAGGGAAAGCGGCCAGAGTGGTATGGTCGGCCTGTCTTGGCTTCTTGCGACCATCCATCCACCCTGCATGCTCCTGCTCCTGCTCTTGTTGTGTCAGCTGATTGCTTTGCTGCCCGTTGTTGTGCCAGCCATTGTGCATCTCTGGTGGTAGCATCATCAGCTGCTGCTGCTGCTGCTGCTGCTGCTGCTGCTGCTGCAGATGTTTGGACTGAATGCTCTGTCGCCTTTGCAGCAGCCCAGACTGGTGCTGCTGCTGCAGCTCCCGCTGATGCTGTTGGTGCTGTTGGTGCTGCTGCTGCTCCTGATGATGCTGCTGTTTCTGCTGCTGCATCTGTCGCTCCTGCTGCTGCATCTGAAACTGCTTGTGCTGCAGCAGCAACAGCTCCTGCTGCTGCTGCTGCGTCTGCCACTGAGGCTCCTCCGGCTGCTGAACGAACAGCAAGCCAGAGCGAATGCTAGGCTCAGAGTGCACCCTCCTGTGCTGCTCCACCCCGCTGCTCCTCGCCTCAATACCGCTGCTTGCTTGTTGCGTCGCGTCAAAAACCCTCTGCTCGAAAGCACTGGTAGTGTGGTGAAGAACGGTGGAGTGCGCTTGGATCGCCCTCTGCTGTTGTAGGCGCTGCGCCATGAGGTTGAACTCGCGAATGTCATCTGCGTACTGTGGCAGTAAAGAGAAACACACAAGAAGAAATAGAGAGGAACACGGGCTTTTAAGAAGGAAGCTCAGAAACATGTGCTGCTGCCTCATAAGTTTGAACTCCCAAATGTCATCCGCGTACTGTGCACAAAAAAAACAAACAAGAAGAACTGGAGAACACACGGGCTTTTCGACAATGCAGCTCAGACGCATGTGCTACTGCCTCATGAGGTTGAATTCACGAATTTCATCCGTGTGCGTACAGTGCAACGAAGAGATGAATGAGAAGAAACGGGTTTGTTCGAAAGACACATGCGACACAAGCCCAACGGGCATGCCCAAGACTCACGCCCAAGACACACTTACCATGGCCCGATCAAAGTTGGTGACTGCCTGCTGATGTGCTCATACGTTCGCAATGTTCGAGTAAAAGCATGCTCAACACAGATGCTAGAGACACATACCTAAGACACACTTACCATGGCCAGATCAAAGTTGGTGACTGCTTGCTGGCCCCTCTGCCTGTAAAACAAGTCGCAACAACAGGGAGAAAGAGAAGGGGGAGAGTGGAGACGGGGTGAGGAGGGTATGCCTAAGGGAGAGGGTGGAGACGGGGTGAGGAGGGCATGCCTATCACATTCAAGAATCACAATTAAGTAATTTCATAGAGAGTCGAGTACTTGGTTGGTTGGCAGTGACTGGAAAACACTCACCTCACAGCAGCCCAGTCGTACGCCATTGCAGCCTGCTCCTGCGTGTCAAACAGGCCCAGGTAGCTCTCTTCCCCAGGTACAACCTCTCATCAGCAGCATATGAGAGCATGGTTGCCACTGAGAGAGTCTCACCTCACAGCAGCCCTGTCGTAGGCCATGGCAGCTTGTTCCTGAGTGTCGAACAGTTCCAGGTAGCTCTCTACCCCAGGTACAACCTCTCATCAGCAGCATATGAGAGCATGGTTGCCACTGAGAGAGTCTCACCTCACAGCAGCCCTGTCATAAGCCATGGCAGCTTGCTCCTGAGTGTCGAACAACCCCAGGTAGTCGTATCGTTTCCCCTCAACATGCCCTATCCTAGCCTCCCACCGACCCTGAGATTGAGAGAAAAAGTGGGCGAGAAGGGGAAACAGGAAGAGAGCGAGGGGCGAGGTCTGAAACATGCTGTAACATGTATGAGCTCCTGCAGCTCGAGACTCGTAACAAGCAGTCCCAGGTTCTCATGCTTCTTGCACTCCACGCTTCCTCCCCTTTGGTGGCTTCTCCCTCGCAATCCTCTGCTGCTTTCTACCCACCATCCCGTCTGCTCACTTTTAAGTCGACTCGAAAACCATTTTACCTCGCTTTACTTCCTGCCCTTAAGTATTGACACCCAGGTGCCCCTCGCCGTACCTTCTGGTGTTTGGTCACCCCTCTATACTTAGAGGTTCCTCGAGCAAAGCCCTTGCTATGACGCCGCAGAAGCAGAATTAGCTCCTCCTTTGGGACAGCCTCTGGTGTGGATTGATATGATACGAGGGGCAGGGGGAAGGATGAATAGCAGAGAAAGAAGGTTGTTCTTCAGATTGTCATTGGAGCTGCAGCAGGGTCAGAATGAGCTCCTCTTTCCAAACCGCCTGTGGTGTGGTGACAGGGAGCAAGATGCTAAGATGACCCAGGAAACAGACTCACCTATTTCCTTGGTGTACTTGGTATACTCCTCAGGCGGTAGGTTTGTCTGTGCGTCCTCACCCCTGCACACATTACACACAGTGCGGCATGAGAATGTGTGATCGCAGTATGTGACAGAACATGTCAGCACGTGTCAGCACGTGTCAGCACGTGTCAGGACACCTCACCTCATCTTGAGTGCAGCTATGTCATACATCAGCGCTGCCTGCTTCTCAGAATCAAATCCTCCCAGATACACCTGCCGCCCTTCCTCCCTGCCCACATTCCCACATGGCCAATGGACAGGAAACACACAAGAAATCGAAGCAGTCGGAAGACCAAGCCTGTGGACTTGGACGTGCCATTAACCGCCCATGCAAGCCACCCACATGTGTGAATGCATTCAGGTGACCTTGCTTAACCTTGCCACACAGACACAGCTCACCATATGTGAGACTCCCACCGCCCTGTGCGGCAGTGGTGCGACACCCCTCTGAAGATCGACGTGCTGTTGGCTTGGCTCTGCACCACTGCTGCCCCACATACACCACATTTCATACTACCCCTCAAACTGCCAGCTATCTCTCACAGCGCAGCTTACTCACCAGATGTGGGCCTCCCACCGCCCTGTGCGGCAGTGGTGGGTCACCCCTCTGAACTTGGATGTGCTGTTGGCCGGCCGCTTCCTCTGCACCACCCGCCTTGCCTTGCCCTTGCCTGCCTCTGCACAACCAAGAACAAGGATAGGAGAGTTAGCATACAAAAAACTGGGTGAACCTCTAAAGCACCGGGAGGTATATATTTACAATTCTCCAAGGGATTAGTACTGGCGTTGGCAGGCGCAAGTGCTAGCGCTTCTGCAACCGCGCAAATATTAGTGCTTCTGCAATCACGATAAGAGTGGTGTACGTTTCAGACGCCTCAAAAGGAGCATCCACAAGAAAGAAGACTGGTGCTTACCGCGTTTGAGAGCTGCAGAATCGCTTGGAGGGACGGCCCCTTCACTGCCTGTCACTCTGTAGGCCGTTGCGAAAGAGCAGAGGGGTAGGGAACGGAACAAAAGACGAGGGAAGAAACGGTGTCATTTTAATGGATCCACAGGCGAAAAAAGTGGCAGGAATCAAGCCTCACGTAGCTCTCCACAGAAGCCCGTTGCGAATCAACCGCCCTCTTTGTCTCGAACCCCCTCTTCGTCTCAAGCCCCCTCCACGCCTCAAGACCCCTATTCCTTCCAAACCCCCTCTTCCTTCCAGGAATCCAGAGCCAATGTTCTTACATCTGGCTGTCCTGCCTCGCGATCGAAGACGACTCAATATCCACACACGAGCTCGCCTGGGGCTTCTCAATCTCCGCCTCGATCCGACCAATCAGATCGTCCCACTCCAGCTCTTGAGGCTTCTCAGCCGTTGGATGCGCCAGCAGCATGCCATGGATCACAGGAGCCATGCTGCCAGCTGGCCCCTCCTGGCCTGTGTTACAGGGGGAAGGAGTTGGAACTTGAGAGGGCATGAGCGCTACCACCAATTTGGCGCAGCAAGCTTTTAAGACAAGGCAGACAAAACGTCACAAACTGGTTTTGAGAGGGCATGAGGGAGCTGCCAATCCGCAACCTTTTGCAAGGCAACTACAAAAAAAATCGTTACCCTGAAACGCACTCACCCTGCTCATTATAGCCGTTGAGAGGCTCGGGTCGCACGGACTGCAGAATATGGAGTGGCGGCTGAGCCAACACCCTCTGATCGTCTGCCTCCCCACCGCCACCGAGTGAACTCGCAGCATGTTACAAGGTGAAAAGACGCTCCTCTTACACGCACTCACCCTGCTCACTGTAGCCGTTGAGAGGCTCGGGTCGCACGGAATGCAGAATATGGAGTGGCGGCTGAGCCAACACCCTTTGATCGTCTGCCTCCCCACCGCCACCAAGTGAACTCGCACCATCTCTCCCTGTGTCTCCTCCTCCACCTCCAATCCCTCGCCCTCTTCCACCCAGGGTGTCTGATCTTCCCAAGCCATATCCACCTCCACAGTTCTCCCCTCCTGCTGCTCCTCCCTCCACTCCCGCTCCACCCCCTTCCACCTGTTGCTGCTCCGCAGGCTCGTCACAGCTGCAGCTGCTCTCTCTCCCATGCAGATTCCCTTGAATCTCTCCACCCACCATCAAACCCTGCCCCGACGCTAAACCTTGGCATGCTGCAGAACCTTTACCGCCGCTGTAGGCTCCTCCCAACAGAGAAGAGTCAGCATGGCCGCTAGTGTTTCCAGCATGACCGTTGGTGTAGTCAGCACAGCTGTTAATGTTGCCAGCATGGCCATTAGCGTTGGTAGTAGTGTCTCCCAGGATAGAGTTGGGCTCCTCGAAGATACTCTCAACTGTCTTGTGGTTGTGTAGACTCTGGTGGTTGTTGTGCTCCATCCCGTGAGATGGCAAAACATCCGCCATCTCAGGGAGGGTAGAGCTAAACGCATGCCCATTTCCAAGCTTGCAGCCACCATCACCACCACCTCCATCACCACCACCAGCCACACCATGGCCCTTAGCCTTCCCGGCCTCCCCCGCTTCCATCAATGACTGGAACCGATACAATCCTATCACCAGCCGCCAGATGCGCCGAGGAGAGGGAGTGAAATATCACAACCACTACCTCCGAGGGAGTTTCTGGGAGAGGGGAAACTTACGGACACTCCCAGAACAGGCAACGAGGGAGAGGGAGGCAGGCCCGAGATACGTTGCACGAGTGGACTGAGGGATTGAGGGATTAACCACCGGAATGAGCTGAACGAAACGAGGAAATGTGAGTTTCGAGGCCCGAGACAGGCTCCTAAAAGGCTGTTAGGATGAGCAGAGGCAGTTGGCGCATCATGTGCAGCACAGACGCGGCCCACTGCCTCTCACTCAACAATGGCCTGCCCGAGACGGACGTACGACCGCTAGCTCGAGAGGTCTCGAGGGACCTCGGGGAACCGATGAATGCTTGAACGATTTCTTTCACCTCGGATAGGCTGTCGACCACAGATGAATGATAGTAAGAGGCAGCGGAGATGCAGCAGAAGCAAAGCACTCGAGGTTGATTGAAAGATTCCAACAAAGGCAAGAGGCAATAGGCAGAACGCAAGAGCCAATGGTGCATATTGATTCGAACTTGCTCGGACCGCGTCGATGACCTCTGACCAAAGCGGATCCACGGTCACAATTGAGAAGCGCCTTCACGATTGAGAAGCATCAAGACCGTCCCAGGCGCTCGATACATCCCGACGCGCGTCAGGAACCTTCCCGTGACCTTCCGGGGAACAAAAACCAGCGATGCAACGGAGATGCAGGCGTGCCGCCCTTCTATGCACTGCACGGCACGGAATCCGGAGGCCAGGTGCGTGAAGCGAGAGGAGAGAGCGCAACGTGGCTGCATGCAGGCGCACGCACGTGAGCCCCCGCGCCTTGTTGTACTCAAGAAACTGGTGATCTGTAAACTTGGAATCAAGAAGCTCGTAAACGGGAAACTTCGAATCGAGATTGGGAGCTCCGTCCATTGCCTCTTTCCGCACGAGGAAACTTCGTCCAATAGGAAAACCTCGACCGATTACAGCCCGTATAGCCAAGGAGAAGGCTTCCTGACAACCGGCTACTTGGACGGCTGACGTCAAGCTGACCGAAGGACGACAGTGCCAGCCGGTTCTGACGGTGCAGTAGGTGTGGTCGGTGTGACCTCGTCTGCTCAACTGTAACTCTCGCTGTACGCATCGATCTCCCGGCATGCACGCGTCTAATCGAAAGCAGCGGGTTTCCCGTGCCTGAGAGCTAGTTGTAAGCCTCGGAGGTGTCGAATGGTGGACGCTGGAGCGATGGCTACAGCTGGGGGAAAGGACAACTCGGGAAGCGGACTTAGCTGGCGTCATGGCGTCAGCTGGTTCCCACGCAACTAATCGCAAGCTACGGTATTCAAATAAATTCGAAGCGAGGAAAATATCTCCTTAGCTGCCGACTCGATTAAGGAACCGCGTTGAGAACTAGGTGAGCTGGAATTCTGATAAGAAATCACTGAATAGGCGTGCGCGGAACTGGAATTCCGATATGGCCTGCGCAAGACAAAGAATGGCCTGTATCTGTAATTCCATATGCAGTGCAATGCCGATTCGTTAGGCTCGATTAGCAGCTCTGGCTGCAAAGCGTAAAACAATGGGATGGAGAAACTGTAAGTGGTCGGGTCGTCGTCATTGCAGTGACCGTTGGAAGGGAGATATTCCGCAATCTCATCCCCACTTCTCATCGTACACGTGTCCGTTTATCACGCAACCTCATCCTTTTCCACGATCTCGTTTTCAAATCCCGAGGCTTCCTCATCCGCTTGATGCTATCCTGGAGCGAAACGCGCCAGGCCTCAGTGCAGGGCGGACTTCTCGAGAATTGATCAGGAGGGCCTAGGAAAATGGAAAATTGGAAGCACAAGTGCAATTTTCAAGTGTGTCCATAGAAGAAGCACATTTGGCACTTGATTGTTGGAACTCCCTAGGTTCGAACCAAGGCGCGTTCTCTTTTGAAGAACCCCCGTTTTCGATTACAGAAAATGCTGGAACAATTTTGAAGCTCGAAGGTGTTACACTTCTAGTCTATCTCCTTGCCCTTGCCTGTTCAGTCTCCACCAGGAACCAGCAAGCACCTCACAATAGCACTCACTTAAGAATACTGAAAGAAAATGGTGAACTATGAATTACTGGGAGCAATACCTTACCTACAGCTGCTTGGTACATTCTTTTCTACAGATGTTGAGGCTGTATAAGCGCAAGATTGCAACCAGCCAGGCCTTGACTAGATGCAGGGTCTTACCCAGATCAAATCCACCCGCTCATATCCGAACGAAAGCGGCCAAGATAGATACACTTGCATCAGAGCACAATTCTATGTCCTGTTCCCGTACAACTCCAGCTCATCTGGTGGTTCATATATGATGTCATTTAGGGTGTTGTTTAGATCGAGACTGTAGACATGACTGACCGTGTTGAAGGTTTTCTGAAATGGATAACAAATGGGAAGGAGGGGAAAGGGGCGAGAGGGGAGGTGGGGTCTTGACACGAGGGTACAAAAGCGCAGGCAACAAGACAACAGAGATTGACCGACATCAATAGAATGCATATCCATGATGGCACGCACACACAGGGTGTACTGTATCCCTGCCATGTGTGCAACAAAGTTCCACGAGCATACCTTACCGTCAAATGCATCCCCCATGCACTCCCTGGACTTGGTTGTAGGGGTTTCAAACCAAGTCATTCCCACAAACATGGACAGGGTATCTCTGCCTACCAGGAAACTAGCAGCGTACCTTATTAGCAAAAGCGTCGCTCAAGCGCCCCCGGGACTTGGTCTTCTGAAGCTTCTTCCCAAAGCTGAACGCATCGCCAGGCTCCCTCCCGAACCGCCGCATCAGCGTCATGACATCCTCATCCATGCTCTCAAACCTCCCCACAAAGTCATACTTGATCCGATCCAAAGCACACAGTCTGTCTCTGCCTCGCAGCCAACAGCATACCTCATGAGCTAACATACCTCTCGTGCAGCCCCTAGACTTGATTTTAGGGCCAACGGCGTACCTTATTGGCAAACGCATCGCTCAAGCGCCCCCGGGACTTGGTCTTCTGGAGCTTCTTCCCGAAGCTGAACGCGTCGCCAGGCTCCCTTCCAAACCGCCGCATCAGTGTCATCACATCCTCATCCATGTTCTCAAACCTCCCCACAAAGTCATACTTTATCCGGTCCAACGCACATAGTAGAGTCTGCGGCACTATGTGCACATCTAGGTGGAATCGACTCTCTATCTCCCACGCCTCTCCCAGAAAATCCACAAATTCATCAAACGTGATTCGAAACCCCGTTCGCAGCTGAATCACCTCCCAAATGCTCCGCAGCCGGGCAGTTCCCGGCCCCGACCGAAACGTCACAACATCCCATAAAGAGTGCGTGACCAGCTGCCCGAAAAAAGCCTGCGCCCAGAACCCTGCCCCGAGATCGTCCGGACCGCCCCCACGAAGCATCTTGTCTAGATACGCCGACAGAACGCGGGTGTATGGGTTTCGGAGGAAGACGAAGCGAGTGAAGTCCCGGCGGGTGAGGGAGCGTATGGCTTGTGGCTCGGTTAAGGAGTACCAGACGGCAGTGACGTTGGTGAAATGGGCGGTGTGGGCGGAGAGGAAGGACTTGGGGAAGGGGTGGTGGTGCTGCTCCCGCAGCCAGAACTTCCAGCTCGTGCACCCTGCCTTCTGCACATAGCAATACACCATGCCCACGTCCTCTGTGGGGGAGGGGAGGGGAGCAGAGAGGAGGGAACGGAGGAATGAAGTGAGGCGAAGAAGTAGGGCAGGTGCACTAGAAAATCCCTAGGACGGAAATTCCAGCTCGTGCACCCTGCCTTCTCCACGTAGCAATACCCCCCCCTATCCCTGGTGGCAAGGAAGGCAGAATTCAATAGTGAAGAAGGAGGTTTGGCAGGGCCAGCCACATACCATCCACAATGACTTGCCTTCCAATGCGGTGCTCTGTGACAGGCAGTGTCCTTGGCGCATCACACAGCCAACAGTGAGGAAGGGAGGTTTGACAGGGCAACATACAATCCACAACCGGGGTTGGCAGGGCAACATACAATCCACAACCGGGGTTGGCAGGGCAACATACCATCCACAATGAGTTGCCTGCCAATGCGGTGCTCTGTCACAGGAAGTATCTTCGGCGCATCACACAGCCCCCTCTCCTCCTCAAACACTCTCCCCTCTTCTCCCTCGTTCCCCGCACCCCCCCTATCCCCCCCTATCCCTGGTGGCACTTCCCCCCGGGGGAAGCTCTCTGGCGCCACCAACACATCGCGCATGCGGGGGAAGCTGCCTTTGGCGGAGGCCTGGGCGCGGATGAGGTCCGCCTGGGGGGAGTGCTGCAGGTGAATGAGCCCCTGGGCGGATGCGAGAGTGAATAGCTCCGCTGCTTCTAGTTGTGCGCACTCTACCCATGCTGCTGCTTCATCTGATGCTGCTTCCGCTGTGGTTGATGCTGCTTCTGCTGTGGCTGATGCTGCTTCATCTGTGGCTGATACTGCTGCTTCGCCTGACACTGCTGCTCCACGGTCTAATACTGCTGCTCCTTCGTCTGAAACTGCTGCTGCTGCGGCTGATACTGCTTCCGCTGCAGCTGATAATGAGGGCAGGGATGCTAATGTTCCTGGTTCTCGCTCTGGGTATGCTGTGACTTCCAGCCTACGCCTCCTCCAACTGCTACTGCTACCGCCCTCTACACCATCAGACAAAAGCAGCCGCCTCGTGCCACCAGCCGACTCCCCTGTCCCGTTCGCCCCTCCTCTCCCCTTTTCCACTCCCACTTTCCCTCCCACTTCCCCTCGTGCCCCTCCTCCCAACCCCCCTGTACCCGCGGTGTAGTAATCTCTGCCGTCCGCCAGTCCAAGCCACCACATCCACTTAGCCGTCTGCTGCCTCACAGTCAGCCCGGGGGGGATAATAGGCGGAGCTACGTACCCACCCCCAATACGGTTACCATTCCCCATGTGGTTACCACCCCCCATGCGATTACCGTTGGCGTTGCGGTTACCGCCTTCGCATTGCTGAGCACGGCGTCGCGTGGATTCTAGCAAATGCGGCTGACGGTTCTCGTGGAAAGTTTCTGCCACGGCTACAGCCTGAGACGGCCAGAAACCCACGACTGTAGCATCGCCTTCGGGCTGCCCGAGAAAAAACCACATGAGGCGGCGTGTAGTGCAGTTAACCGCGATTTTAGGGTCACAGCTAGAGCAAGGGTAGGAGGAGGGGAGGGAGAGAGAGATTGGCTCCACGTACACAGCTGTGCTCTGCTGGACACGTGTCATGTTCTCCTTGGCTATCAGCTCCTGCACTGCTGTGGACGGCTGTAGCAGGCTGTAGCAGCGCTGCAGGGAAGTGTGGAGCTGGGAGCCGTCCACGTCAGCAAGGGCGGAGGCCATGGGAGGGAGGGAGGCGGAGAGGAAGAAGTTGACGTGCAGGCGGCGAGAAGGGTGGGAGGACGAGGAGGAGGGCGAGGATGACGAGGAAGAGGAGGAAGAATTTCCAGTCTCTTGCTCTTGCTGCTGCTGCATCTGCTCTTGGGATTTTGGTTGAGGGAGCTTCGAGTTGAGGATCTGTTGAGACATGCAAGAGAAGCGAACAGGCGGAAGACACGTGGTGAACACAAACGAAAAACAAAACCACCCACCCACCCACACACGTATCACTGCAAGAATGGAGACAAAACAATTAGCACACGCTTGCACACTTCAGCGCGCCTCTTTTGAAATGCACACCCCGTAGGTGTAGAGCGGCGAGTTGAGCCAACTTGGGTGATGCAGGAGCACCAGAGTCTCATCAGCCGAGTCAGCTGCACCGGAAGACGCTTCCTTCTGCTGCTGCTGCTGCTGCTGCTGCCGTTGACCCTCGTTTTGCTGCTGAGCGCCTTGCGGGTAGGAGAGCACGCTAGGGCGAGGCAGAGGCCCCAGCACGTGGTTCAGTGTGGCGTGCGGCATGCCTGCGTCCGGCAGCCATAGCACAGCCAGCCGTAACGGCGCTTGTTGCGCTTCCTGTGATTGCTGCTGTTGCTGTGGATGTTGCGAATCTTGCGATTCTTGTGAGGAGCTGCTGGGAACTGCGGGGGAGAGCTTGGACGATAAGAGCTGGTGCAGCGCGTATCCTGCACACACCGCCTCGAGCCGCTCGTGAAGTAGACCCTGGAATTGGAAGAGAAGAAGAGATAGACTGGTTAGCCTATGAATGCTAGTACAAGTATGATTTTCAAGATTCTCGAGATACACAAGCGTCTACAGGACATACAGTCTTCACACAACAGTATTTGGTGCATACTCAACCACAACAGTCAAAGTCGTGGAAACTTCATTCGTGCATTTTCAACGAGCCTTGAAGACGAACCTTAGCCCAGACAACGACGTCAGGATGAGGAATGGTGTTGCTCACGCTCCAATCCTCTTCATTCACTCCATGTCCTATTCTCCCCGGCAACCCCGGTCGAGAGAAAAACGAGACCGTTGTGCTGTCTTCTGTGCCGGTCATCCGAGCCTCACGAATCATGAGAACAATGCTAACGAATGTAACTATAATTAACCATTTCGACGTATTTCGCCACGACCCGTTCTTCGAGAATATGCGCGAGAACATAGTCATATCAACACAAGGAAAGCCTCTGTAGATGCCTCGTGCATTAAACGGCCAAGATTGATTCTTGCTCATGCTAGGACTGATCGTCACGTTCTGCTTTCTCGTAAGAACGGCATTCGCCATAAGAACCTAATTTCGCAACAGAATGCGCAATCAGCATGTGCGAATGGTCTACGCGATCCGATTAGCGGTAACTACATACCTATTCCGACAACTCTGATAGCAGTCCGTCATACGCATCACGAACCTGCTCTTCAGCACTACTTACTGATCGTCACTCTAATGCACGCGAATAGCTGAGTCGAGACAGAACTACTAAGAAACACCTTCAGCAATTGAAGCTGCAAAAATCGTGATTCTTGAAAGAATGGTGAAAAACATAGCAACTTCTCTCTAGCTTTTTATCAGGCACCCCATGAGGAATCAGGGTGCTGTTCGCCAGCAAATCGTTTCTTAAAGCTGCAGTATACATTTGTCAGCCGGGTTAGGGTTTTTATTGTGTGCCTCACAGCTTTGGGGCAACTTTTCAAATTTCAAAAGTTTTCGAACCCAACATTTCAAATGTATACTGCAGCTTTAAACAGGAAACGATGGCATCAGCATCGCGACCGCATATGGAAACGGGGGCGGAACCCTCCTCCGAGGTTTGGGCGAAATGCCGCCCGAGAAACTACGCGCGCCCGAAAGGCGAAATTTCTCAACCGCGTCGGGAAGGTCCATCCCCACCTTCCCCCCAATGGCGCGAAATTTGCTCATCCCTGACCCTTGTGCTGCCCGCTGACCAAAAATTGCTCAACGTGGGTTAAAAACGCAAATAAAACACACCCCGCTCAAACACAACCCCCGCTACCACGTGCTCATGCCCAGACACAACTCAAGTTATGCTCGGGGGGCATTTCGAAGGTGTGTTTGGGAGGGAAAAATGGGGGGTATACGAACCCCCCTTTGTTAAACTACAGGCTTGTTAAAGGGTTACCCTCTGAACAGCAATGCGTCGGCTGTGCCACCGCTGTGCTTTGAAAAACGCGGCATGACGATGGCATGGCTAGGGGATGGCATTTTGCCTGGGAACGAAGTTTCGTCCCCGCTTCCAGATGCCGTCGAACTGTTAGATTTGGTGGAGAAAAGTGGGCGTTCGCCAGACGCCCACTTTGTTTTTGGTTTGGACGGTAGGTGAGGCTCGGCACTTTTTTCACGGGCTGACCAAGCTGACGGAGGTTAACGAACTCTAACTGACGGGATCAGGAAGGCGAGACCCACCTTCCTGATCCCGTCGTTATCCCGCGGTTTTTGGATATAATGGTGCTGGCGAACAGCACCCAGATGTGCAGGGAGGTCAGGAGGATTGCAGTGAGAACAATACAGCATCAGGTCTGCGCCATAAGAGGAGAGGCTTGGCTTGAAGTTGGAGCTCTGGTCTGGTGGCTGGTTCGGTTCACTGACACACCTGCGGTCGCGTCTGTTTGGCAAACCTGCCTCTGACAGGTTTCGGTTTCGGCACAGGAAGCCACTGAGAGCCAGTGATAGGCCTGAAGGCCCGCTAGGTATGGCCCTAACTTTGGCCGAACTACTTCACTGCCCTAGGCAAGCACCGAACCAGCCTGTCGTTGCAAATCCCTGCTATAAACTGAAGGTATCCTTCCAAGAACTCACACTGGCTGGCAAACCTACCGTAATAAGAAGAAATGTTATGCAACTTCATGAATGCAGCTTCCGTTCATAATAATTGTTGAAATCCTTTGGGCGAGTGAGGGGAGGGGGCTAAAATTCCTTTTGGTGTGAGTGGGAAAACAGGAGTTTCCTTACGATCCGTGTATTAAGCAAGGTGAAATAAAAACCTTAGGTTGGGTGATTGATAAGGAAAGAAAAGAGCCTAAATCTCTCTATCTAGTTGTGGTAAGTATTTTTGCTAGTGCTGTGATTAGCTCTCAGCCATTCTGAACCCCGCCGTTCGCATATCAGACCATCCCACTGGTCTCTCTCAGCAGATGTTGAGCCGAGAGAATGATTCAAGCGCTTCACCCTGTCCAACCATACCGCACCTGGCCGAACCATAGAAGACCTTATCGCGACAAAATAAGCAGCCTGGTAACCAAACGCCAAGGTAAATTCCTCCTACATAAAGCCCTGCTACCTCTCCGATCTGCTCTTTCTCTCCTGCACATCTGCAGGACTACATTTCGTCCCTTTTCGTCCGTCCTTGTTCTTCCTCCAGCGTTCACACACGGCCAGCTCAACTCATAGCCGTCTAGCTGGACAGTCTAGACCGCCATAGCCGTCCACCTCCTATACTAATTAAGGAGTTTTTACTTGATTAAGTACCCGCGGGAAAGATGAGGCCGCAGCTGATGAAGGGTCATGAGAGGCCGCTGACGTTCCTCAAGTACAATCGCGACGGCGATCTGCTGTTCTCGTGCGCCAAGGACCACCAGCCCACCGTGTGGTACACGGATAACGGCGAGCGCGTCGGCACGTACAAGGGCCACAACGGAGCCGTGTGGACGTGCGACGTCTCGCGTGAGTGCTCCGATGACGAACCCTCGGGATTCCAGTGACTTTTAGTGATCGTCGATGTGAGTGAGGCTAAGCAGGACTGCCGGATAGACTCGAGAGGGTTGGTGCCAGTGCCTCGGCACGTACAAAGGACGTAGCGAATCTGTTTGGAGCAGTGACGGCTGTCGTGGGGGATTAGGAAGGCCGTTAGCCATTATAGCGATCATGCCAATGTTTGGACCGAACTTCTCGTGACTGATAAGGTTATTAGACTAATTAACGTTCACTGCAAGGTCTTAACGAGCGATCGGGCTAGGTTCTGGTTGGCTAGGTCTCGTTAGGTCTCGATAGTTGTCCGTTCCGGCTTTCTTATCGAGAATAGTTCGAAATTCGTCAATTACGATAGCGTTCATCGCACTGTGCAGGTTTCGAGGAAGTCACCGTGTTTTTCTCGGAAATGGAGCCGTCTAGCTGCTTCCCTGAACTTTTCATCTGGCGCTTTGGCCCTCCTTTGTTCACTTGCATCAGGCCCTAGGTTCTAGGTTATTTGGATATCGAGTCAGCTGATTCAAACCCTAGCCAGTAAGAATGTGCGCCAGTACGGTAATAGCTGTCCACGCGAGGGTTTAATCAGGGTTCCTGCCTGGTGGCCTATCGAGCGATTCTATTCTGGCCGTGATTATTCCCGCTCCCTTCTCACGTAGTCGGTTGTCGAGTGTCACTTATTACTAAGGATTACGACCTAATGGGCCTCGCATGTCAAGTTTTTACCTTTCTCGGACTGCGCTCTTGCTCTACGTCGCCTTCCGTCCTCCCCTGTCCCTCTTACCCCATCCCTCTTCCTTCATCCTTTTCGCCCTACCTTTACCGTCCCTCGTTCCGTGCATCCCTCCTCATTTTTCAAAATCTCCTCATCCCCGTTACAGGCGACTCCAAGATGCTTATAACGGCGTCGGCGGATCAGAGCGTGAAGCTGTGGGAGGTAGAGACGGGCACGCCGTACTACACCTTCTCAATGGACGGCCCTGCGCGCTCCGTCGCTCTGGCGGAGGGAGAGCAGCTCGCGGCGATCACGGTGGATCCTTTTATGGGGAGCGTGCCGGCCATTCATGTGAAGCGCATCAAGGAGGGCAGCCGAGAACGTAAGTACAGCACCGTAAGCACATGTGCTCTGTCGCGCTCGCGGAGGGAGAGCAGCTCGCGGCGATCACGGTGGACCCTTTTATGGGCAGCGTGCCGGCCATTCACGTCAAGCGGATCAAAGAGGGCAGCCGAGAGCGTGAGTACTATCACTTCTCCCGTCCCGCAAAAGCCCTTATCCCTTAGTCAGCGAGCAGCGAGCAGCCAGCAGCTCGCGGCGATCACGGTGGATCCCTTCATGGGGAGCGTGCCGGCCATCCACGTCAAGCGAATCAAGGAGGGCAGCCGAGAGCGTGAGTACCACTTCTCTCCTCCCCCCCCTAACAGCGCTTCGTCCTGCTGAAGGTCGAGCAGAGAGCAGCTCGCGGCGATCCCGGTGGATCCCTTCATGACCAGCGCACCAGCCATCCACGTGGAGCGGATCAAAGAGGGCAGCCGAGAGCATGAGTATCGCTTCTCCCCTCCCACACAGCCCCTACCCCTTAGTCCGCGAGCAGCCAGCAGCTCGCGGCGATCACGGTGGATCCTTTCATGGGCAGCGTGCCGGCCATTCACGTCAAGCGGATCAAGGAAGGCAGCCGAGAGCGTGAGTGCCGCATTGCCTCCCTTCCCACACCAGCCCTTCGCCCTTAGCCGCTCTGCTACACCGCACCTTCCCCCTTAGTCGCGTTGGCGGAGGGCGAGCAGCTCGCGGCAATCATGCGCTGTGTGTGGGGCCCACTCAGTGCCTCGTGTCTGCCTATTCTTCGTGCTGTGCATTCAGTGCTCTCCCCATTCCCTCCAATCGATTGTCACCAACAGAGGAGGAGGAGTCAGTGCTGCATATCACAGGCCCCCAGGGCCGAATCATTCGCTGTTCCTGTCCCCGTCTCTCCCTCTTGCCTGACTCTCTCCCCCTCCATTCCTCCTGTTCTTTTCGCACCATCAGAGGAGGAGGAGTCGGTGTTGCACATGACAGGCCCCCAGGGCCGAATCATAAATTGATTGTGTCCTTCTCTATGTATCTCCCCTTCCCCTTCTCTCACCATCAGAGGAGGAGGAGTCAGTGCTGCATATCACAGGCCCCCAGGGCCGAATTATGCGCTGTGTGTGGGGCCCACTCAACCAGACGCTCATAGGCGCGGGGGAGGACTGCATCATCCGCATGTGGGACGCTGAGGTGAGGCGGATGGGGGTTCTATGCGGTAAGTGGTCGTTACTGGGTGTTCAGGTAGGTGTTGTGGCAGGTCTTGGTGGTGGGTGGCTGTGCTGCTACTGGGATGTGTGTGGGGCCCACTCAA